AAACAACCAAGATCCCAGCCTCGCTTCTCTCTCTTTTTCAGCTTTGCTTGCAATAGCCTCAGCTCAGTGAACTAAAAATGCAGGTTGCAGGAGGGTACATCTAGCTCTGTGCAATCTTACACAAGGCCTGAACAGACAGACAGGTTGCCCCTGCACAGAAAGCAGCAAGCAGTGCCCACTGGCCAGTTTAGGAAAGCAAACCCTGCCCATGTCATCATGGCAGCTTGTTCTGCCAAGCAGAGGGTCTAACACCATCTAAAAAGAAGTACAACTCTTTAGGAAAAGCATTGATCTCCAAAAGCTTCCTCTTTCAGAGCTTCCTGTAGAAAGCCAGCTGCCTTGTAAAGATGCCATTGCATGGGACAGCTATTGCCTTTGCTCTCATTTCAGTGAGATCRGGCCCCAAATCTCACCACAAGATTATTCTGCAGACAGGACAAAGCATTTTATAGGGTTCAGTTTGGCTCAGAAGTTGTTTGGGGTTGCCTGGAATTTTGGAAAATGCAGATCCTGCAGCTCAGGGTCCCCGGCTGCAGTGAAATTGTGCAGGCTTCCTGCTGCCTTCCCAGGTTCTGCTGCTGAAAAAATAATACCCCATGTTTCCCTTGCACTTCCAAATCATACAGCATGTTTTGTCAATGTCCACCATTGTTTAAAGCCCCTCTAGGCTCCTGCTGGGGACATTATTTCTCTCCAAGTTTCATAGGCAGCAGGGGTTTCTTCCTGATTTTAAAGCGGGCTCCCATGGATCATGAATAATTTGTGATGTTGCTAACACAAGCCTTATCCAGTTGTCTCGTAACACACACAAGAGTTCACATCTGAAGATCCAACTGGCAGCCTGAGGAATCCGTGGGCATTTTGAAATGCTTTGAATCCAAGAGAGGAGAGTTGGTAGGTCACCCCAAGAAACCACTGCACACAAATCAGTTCCAATAAGAGCACTTCCAATATGTTTATTGGAAAATAACGTCTTTCTGAAAGTTTGTTTGACATTTGTTCATTCTTAGCCCTCAGAGGCCATCTGTGGTAGCTCATGCCAGGTACATGCAGGCATTTCCCCATGGAGGACAGGCTGAGCTGATTTGCATCTGGGCACCCTGAAGCAAATCATAGAAGACCAAGCAACTCTCTATGAAGAGAGAGAGTTTATTGGCTGTGTCTGTACCACATCTCACACCTCCCCTTTTTTTTTTCCTTTTTAAACGAAGAAGAAGGAAAAAGAGACACCRTAGACACCATAATTTAACTCCCTAACAGAATAATTTCTATAAATAGTTCACAAAACAAGTGGGTACAGATTATCAGAAAGTTGGATATAAAGAAAGGTCCTTCAGTTCCAATGGAGCAAAACATTCACTGTAATAAGGACATACTCACAAGCATACTTAGGTACACCACGTATCCACCTCAAATGGATTAATGAACCAAAAAATTAATYGTAAAATGTGTAAATAAAAAGCTGGAGATTCACTGAATTAGAATACAGTGTATTCATTAATAATTAGCCAATGTATTTATCAGTAACTGCAAAATATTATCTTACTTTTCTGGCTGCAAAAAGGCTTAGTGACATCTCTTTTTCTGCCACACTCGAATACATCAATCTGAAGGACTGGGGTAGATCACAGGGCAAGGGTTTGAGGATTTTCCTCCTCCTTTTGCCACTGATTGTGTTAACAACCAAGGCAAGTCAGAATTCTGCTATGTTTCACAGTTTCCCTTTTGTAAGTGGGATAATATTTCTTACAAGTTTTTGTGGAGCWGTTTGAGATCTTGGGGAGAAAGCAGATATTTAAGTGCTCTGTGTTATTATTTTAGGCCCTGATTCAGGAAAACATATATGTTTAAATTCTGCTCCTTTAATGGGTCGCAAGCACCTATTTTAGGCTTAGCTCACATTGATGTGGTCTTTCTGAAAAAGCTGCCCTAAAACTTTTAATTATCCCTATTAAAAATATAGCCCATTGAAGCTTATTTAAAAGATAATTTCGAAAATAGAGGGGGAAAGTAGTGAATTAATGGCAGCTCAGCGCATTGAGGCATTACCTTTCGTGCCTTRTTCAGATGAAAGAGTCATGCAGGAGTACCCATGCCTTTTTGATTAGATGCATGCAGCAGGCTTTAGGTCGCCTTCAAAGATCCTTGGACCGTATGGAGCCAGGAGCAGCTCTGCATTGACATCGAAAAAAAAAAAAAAAATCAAACTCTTTTTCTCAGAGGCTGACTTCTTCCCCCAGCTCTCCCCTCTCATATTTTTCTATATTTCCAGAGGAGAGTCAGGCTTAGTTTGTTCATMAACTGCAGTTCCTGGGCGGACCCCACGCACAGCTGGGCTTTAGCGGCTGGATCCGCCTTCCCGGCAAGCCGGAGCCGGGAGCCTCACAAAGAGGGGCTCCGGGCTTGACAGCACAAACGCAGGAGACTGGCTCCACCGAGGGAGGATGACCTGGTCAGCACCGTGAAGCCGGGCTTCTGCTTGCCAGTGGGATCCAGAAATGGGTTACTGGAGGAGACCGGCTCTGCTTTCCTTACTGCTGCTCTCCTTGTGTGAGTAGAAAATTTGTTTCTGGCTAGGCAACGTTAAGCAAYGTACTCGGAGAGGTCGTTTATTTTTCCTTCCTCCAGCAAAACAGCTAATCTTTGATTTCTCCCCTGACAGCAATTAGCCAGAGGATTGGAAATAGCAGAGAGTTTAGTAGAATACTCTGCTACGACTGCATCAGCTGCGTATTTCTCTTATGGCGAAGGGCGAGCAATTGCTTGGTGGAAAGTGCTGCGTGCTCGCTTGGAGCAGCTCGCAGATGTCAGTGTTTACAGTGCAAAAATATATATAGGTCAGCATTACTTGTTGGAAGTTTTTATTTTATTGAGGGAGATTAAAAGCAACTGAAGTGCGCCGCTGAACGATCTGGCTTCGACAGTGTCCAGATGTGGTGAAGTTTGCAGCTTAGAACTTTTATCAGCCCTGGTTTATGCACAGAATTAATCGAACTATTAAAGGAGGAAAGAAGTGGGGAGAGGGGGAGGAGAAGTGTCTTTGCAACAACATCTGGTTATTCGGCAAACCTTTCCAGCACTTAYGTAAAGATTTCTTTGTAATAAGTGCCCTGTTTCAGTTTTGATAGCACTTCTTCAATACTGTAGATAAAACCCTCCAGCAGCACTTGAAAATGTGCCCATCCGTGGTTTAACTTTTTCTTGTTTATATCTTGATGATTGTTTCATAACGGGGAATGGATTTGTATATAAGTGAGTGTTATATACACATCTCCTAAGTATGTGTGTGTGTCTTTCTGTATATACAGAGTCTATGTGTGTGTATACACACATACATCCCTACAAAGCGTGTATTTATATATTTGCATGGACACTACTTTTTAAAGTGAACTTTTACAAACACAGACCTGTTGCCCTTGCTATTTCAATGCAACTAAAAATTTCAAAACTAGAAATTTCAATGCAACTAAAATCACTTTTTGCTCAAAGTGATGAAGGAGGATTGTAAGTCCAGTATTTTTGCATCCAAAGGAAATCACTGGGGGCAGAGATCTGTATCTGCATTCACTTTACATGGGTCCCCCTATCTACAGGACYGGGGAATAAAAGAGTGATCGTTGAGTAATTTGTGTGTAAGCAAACAAAACCATGGGTGCAACTGTTGAAGCAGAAAGAACCAGATGGGGAGATTCARGACATAGAACCTGGTTGATTTTTCAAAAAGTAACAGAGATCTATAGTATTATTTTTTGTAGATAATGCCCTAAACTATGGGGTGAAATGTAGGGTGCTATACTGATAACATCCTGCTAACTTAATCACATTTGGAGCAGGAATTACTACAAGTTATTATTTAAAGCACAGTCTTGGGTWGTTTTTGGTAAGAAAGAAGACCACTAATTATCCTTCAGAAATACCTAATTTTGGAGTTATTTAACTTATGGTTTCCTATTTCTGAAAGGCAAGTTTTTAATCTGAAAGAAGCCAAAACCAAAACATATCATGATTACTRAGTTCATCTGAAAGGTTATGTGAGTGATATGATGACAAAATTTGCCTCTGTACAGGGTAAAAAAAATAAGCCAAGGCTTACTCTCTGTGATTCAGCTCATCAGTGATAGATGTTTTCAGGGACTACATCTACTTCCCTTGCACTTAGTGTTAAGATTATAAGTCATTATAAGAAAGTAAAAGCAACCCAGGAGCCCATTTTGACATTAAAAGAGAAGGGAAGAGCTAGTTCCCMAAATTGGCAGAATATGCACATTCAGCTGTTCTTCAAGCAACGAATCATACCACTCATGCAACCTCTCTTTTAAAAGTGACAGCTCTGGCTTGGGGACAGCAGCAAAGTTGCTACTCAGCACAGAGATTTAGGATTTGCCACAGAGAGCATGGCCCAGACTGTGTTACCCCAGAATAACTCCAGCTGAGCATCTGCAGGGACTTTGCTGCTGTCCCTAAGGATTTACAGAGCAAACAGGGCAGCAGAGACCCCAGCCTGTGCTCCACGCTGCCTGTCTCTGCCTTTAAACCCCAACATGACTGAACAGCCATCACACAGCACATCYGACCACTTCAGTTCACATGAGATGGAAAAAAGGCCTCTAATCTGACAGACCACTGCTGGATTTCCCCAATTCTTCATGGCCAGGCCTAACAAGGCTTTAAAACATCCACCCTTAAACTTCTCTGTGGCAGTGCCTGCTGGAGGGCAGCATTTTCACATGGCTTTCTCAGCAGAAGGTGCAAACAAGAGCTGTAGTTTCCCCCCTAACAAAAGCCCTCACACAAGTGAGCAGAGACTCCTTCCAGGACAAAGAGCTGGTGCAATCCTGGATTTACCTGGATTGGGACAAAAAAATACAAGGATCATTCAGAATTGGAAAACTGCCATACAGGGTGGGGAGCTGACAGCTTGACAAGGAGAGAGCTTGGAGTTGAGCTGGCCATGTGCAGCCACATCCTGGGAAGATGTTTTCTGGCAGAGGGCTTCCCCCTCTATGGAACAGAGATAAAATAAGATGTACACAGTGGAAGCTAAAATGGGGCACTTTTGTGTTAGAGCACAACACAGTAAAGTTGTTCCAGCAGGTAATTACTCAAGCTTGGGATGTGGGGGATATTTGTTGCTCAAAGCCTTCAAGACTGCAAGACTACCTACTTGGARCCTATACAGAAACCATAGACTTGATATCAGGATTACTGTATTGCACACATGGAAACACTCTGGCCTTAGAATTAAGCATTAGGAGATGTCCTGCCCTGTGTTCTATGAATATTGGGAAATTATCCCTTRTAGTCCATCTGTGAGGAGCAGGGCTCACATTCAGACCAACAGGAAGGGGGATGAGCACTATCTCATCTCACAGAGGGGACAGCAAAGCACCACAACCCTCTGAGCTCTGGGGACAGCCTCAAGATCGTGAGCTAAGTGTCACTGGTGTGACAACAGCTCTCGAGGGTGTGAACAGCCCCAAGAGTCCGGCAGAGTCTTTGTGCATCCAGCCTCCAAAAGAGGATAGGAAACTCCAAATCTGCCAAGGCACGTAGCGTTTACCGAGGGAGAGCAAGTGAGGCTTCAAAAGAAAGAGAAAAGGTTTTTGAAATGAGGTGAGGTTGCAGGTCTGCCCCAAATCCAGAGCTCCCTGTTCTGGGGTGTGAGTCTGCTTCCCCATAACTCTGTCTCCTGTTAAAATGTTGGTCCACTAAAATACCCTGATATTTTTTGCCATGGTTGATGGCTCTACAGAGAGTGCTTTTGAGGGGTTCTGTCCTGGTAGTTGGTGGCTTTCTGAAGCCAMATTTCCTGCTTGCACAAACTGTTCCCCCAGTGAGCCTCTTTGGCTAAATATATAGAGCGTATAGAATTCATAAATCAGGACAGGGAGCTCCGGGGCTGTCAGAAAAGCATCTCTGGCTTTTGATCTGCTCAAGAAATCTCTGACCTATCCCAGGCTCCTCAGGCAGCTTGTTCAAGAAGTTGGCCTCTTATTTCTGAGGTCACCAGTGCTAAAACCAGGGGTTGTAGTGCCACCAAAATGCCAGCCCTCAGGCAGGGAGCTATTGGGATTGCACTCCAACACCAATGCATGCACAATTCAGGAGCAACAGGTCAAACCTGAGCCAGTGAGAGCACAAGGGAAGGAAAAAGGCAAAGGAAGAGTCACCCTCCATTTCACAGGCATTTGCAGAAAGGAGCTTTGCAGGTCCAAGGATGAGCCAGAGMAGCCAAGCAAACCTCTCCTTGCTGACTGTGCAGAATGAGGAGGTGGGCACTGCCCACCCCAGGATAGAGGGTTGCAGGGCTGGCTATCACAATCCATCTCAAATAGCACCACGTTTTGCTCTAGTGTAGATTAAAGACAGCCAAAACACCAAGGAAGAAATTACCACCCTCAAAAAACTCTGAGGGGCTACAAGAGSACCACATCAGCTGGGTGTAGGTAGCTGGGTTGGGAGCAGGCACAAGATCCCACTGCCTGAAGGAGAAACACCCTACAACGCTGGCTAAATAAGAACAAAGATGCAACCGATTCTCCAGGTAGGAATTAAAAGGGGAAAAYGCAAGAAAAATCCTGACAATGCAGAACTGGAGTCCTCTGCAATGTTGTAAGTGCCATGAGACTCAGCAAGGAAAGCAATGTATTATTTTGAATTCACCTTTACACATCTCCAAATCTGATGCTGCAGTTTCAGTCCTTTAGATTAGATTAAATTAGATTAGATCAGTGTAAATTAGATTAMCTGAAGGTTAAGAAGAGTTGCACTTTACAGCTACGCCAGATTTATGAACTCTGGCTTTTCCTCTCCCATTGCACTTCCAGGTTTGCTCAGACTTGTGACAGGCTGGTTGTCAGCAAAGCTGCTTCACTCTGTATTTTAGTAAGAGGCTTTGTGGAAAGAAACACTTTTTGAAATAYTCCATGCAAATTGAAATTCAACCACAATTTTCTAACAAAAAAACCCAAACAACCAAYACTAAAACTGACGTTCACTGGTGTTTTACTGGTTTTACCACCATTTAATAATGGTCACAAAGACATTTTTGTGTACTAGTAGTAAATAAGTTCAGTCAGCTGTAATCATGATATTTGTTACTCCCATTGGAGACGGAGTTCTGGACAGATGCATCCCACGCATTCTCTGAACATGCAGAAAGCAAACACTGGCATTAAAAACAGGTGACTGGGGGCTTTTATTCTGAGCAAGAATTCCACTCTGYTGCCTGTACTGCACAGCTTTATATTGCTCCGTGATTTGCTCTGTCGAGTTTATTTCCTCAGGACATTGTTTTCCTCTCCCCTTAGTGATAACTCTTTGCAATAACATTTGCTTTCAGCCAGGCTCCACAGTATTGCAGCTCGCCATAAACTAATGAACTCTCCCATGGATTGTTGTGTTTTCAAGGAAGTGCAACATCTGATCTTTTTATTAAAAAAAKCCAGTCCCACCAAGGAGACAAAATGAGCAGCTCCCCCACGCTCTGCTCTTTTCACATCCCGAGTTTAGAGCTGTGTGCCAAGTGAAAGCCCCACGCTGGAAGGGGC